ACTCAGCGGAGCTTTAGAGTTCTATCACAATTAAGACAAAACAGCATCTCTCTGCCTGAAAGGAGCCGTAAGAACCCGAAGGACAGGGGGACGTCCTTCAGAGCGGCAGCAGGATTACTGCCGCAAACGTCCAGACGGTCAAACGTCCTTGAGCAAAACGATGATTTGTTTCTGATGGGAGGCTGAGTGGCCGACCCTGACGGCCGCAGCCTCAGACCCATTGAGGAGAAACAGAAAACATTTTCTGAGCTCGGATCAATAAAATCACATTTTCAAAAAGCGCTGAATGTGATTTATTCTCTGCCCTCGGCCTCTTAATCTGTATAGATGATAGAGAGCGCAGGCTGGGGACCGCCAAGGACGAACGATCCGTTAGGAGGCGTGCAGCCAAGGAGAGCGGCCGTCAGATCCATGGCTTTCATGACGCTACCTATTTATCTCTTTATGGATTCATTCCTTTGATGATGAAGGAGGAGGGGACTGATTATGTTTTATTGGTTCTTCTATATCAGGGATTGTATTCCTGCCCTTCCTCCTGAAACATAAGGGCCGGGTCACAATCCTCCCAGAGCTGCTTCTCAAAAGCATGAATAAAATATCAGACGGAGGTATTTAGGCCTGACTGAGCGAACAGCAAAGGAAAACAGCTCCTGAAGGCCGTCAGAAGGTGAGGAAGGGAGGAGTTTTCACCTGTTGCCTATTAACTGAGCAATATTCTTCCTGCTTTGGAGGCAGAGAAGCACACAGCTGGTCTGAAAGCTGGGAAAGGCGCTGAACCCACAACCCTTCACCTTCCTCTGCCCAGTAACTCCCAGCATGGGACCCTCAGGGTCCCCACGACAATGGCTGGAGCTCCTGTGTGTGGTCGGCTAATAAAGCAATTGTCTGAGCCTGAAAAGAGGATTACTTTAATCTAGTAATGGCTGATGGGGTGCAGCCTTTGGCCGCGTGGCAACAGGGTCACGTCGAATTGCTAAGGGGCCCATTGTAAGGCAAATCAAGCCCTCACCCCCAGGACCCTGTCCTGTCACCCCTACCTCTGTGCCCCCCCCAGCTCTACTGTAGCTCACCCATCTGGAAACCAGGAACACTTTCCACTCCTGGGGTGGAACTGGGCGGACAATGGCTGCCCCCAGCCAGCGGGGGTTAATGATTGACCACCACACGGGGCGGGTGGCAGGGACCACCGGCTGCAATCCCACTCCCACAATGCCACAGTTCAAGTCAGGTATCATCATTAACCTTTAAGTCATTCTGCTTTGCAAAGTGTCTCCAGTTCAGCCAGAGGGACAGATCAGGTCTATTCCAAGTAGGACCAGGACCGACTAGGACAGACCACCCATATCTGCTTCCTTCCTTCCTTGTTTAATGGATGAGAACCTTTGGTTCCTGAATGAACACAGGCGCCTTTCCTTTTATTTTTCTCCCTCAGAAGCAGTTTCACTGTTTGCTTCCTGCCCTCGTCCACCTTTCCTGCAGCTCTGCGCCGCTGCGGAGTGAAGAAGGTGAAACGTCCTTCTGACATCAGGGCTTTTGTGTGCAGACGAGCCGGTCCGTCAGCTGACCTCTGGTCCTCTGTCCTCTGGGAGTCAAAAAGCCAAACATGCCTTCGTACTGCAGGAAAACGGTCCGCTTGGAGCCGGAACACTGGATCAGGGAATCACAGACGCACTGAAAGCTCCCCGAAAACACAGGGAGAGTCTGAGTTTAGGGGAGAGAATGATGAAATCCAACGCCTGTGTTAATAGTTGGGTTCAAAGGGCTGCTGGTTGCTGAATGAACAGCTGCCTTTTCTCTCAGTAGGAGGGAAGCGCTGGAGCTCCAGAAAGAGAGAAGCAACATTTCCAATTTTCCAAACCGGTCAACAAACTACAGAAACAGACGGATCCTGGAGCAGAATTGCATTTAGCTCCACCTGAACGCCTCAAGCCCCCCGTCGCAGAGGGTCTGCATCCAGATTGAATCTTAAGAAGGAATGAATCATGTGCAAATACATGGGAGCAGAAATCAATGATGATTTCACACAACGGTAAAACCTGAAATGCCTCAAACAGCTGGTTAGATTGTGATGCGTCATCCTGACAGACGAAGGGTTCGCTCCACAAACATTAAACATCCACCTGAAGAACGGACAGAAGGGAAGGAAAACGCGTCACTCTAACAACCCGACCCAGAAACCTTCAGAGTCGGCGAGACGGTCGACAATCACAAACACACAGCAGCAAGATGGCTCCTAACAACCGCGGCGGCTGTGGCTCCACAACCCGCGGAGAGAGAGTGAGACATCCAGCGGATAACAGGAAGGCCGAGGTGTTCCGGTCAGATCGCTGTTCTTTATCCCTCTGATCGTTGGAACTGTCTGTTATGGATCTCTCTGAAACTTCTGGAAATCTCAGAGTTCGGGGAGGAACGTATGAAGAATACACGGTTTAAGCAACGCTAGCTATGCTAACGACAGAATAGATACCAGTTTTCTGCTCCTAACTGAACTTCTGTGTGTAAAAAATGTGTAAATCCCTTTAAGGTCCCACAGTGGGAAATAAACATCTAACCCATCCCCATGGGGTGCAGTGGGCTGCCATTGTGCGGCGCCCGGGGGAGCAGCGTGAGGGTTAGGGGTCTTGCTCAGGGACCCAGAGTGGCAGTCTGTGGGAGTGGGGCTTGAACTTGGAACCTCTGGGATCCCAACAGTAACAGAACTGATGAATGAGTCAAAGCAGGAATCACGTTTCATGAGTTTTACGAAGGTGATATTCTGATGGGGAGAATCCCATCAATTCATTTGAGACCGGATATCAGCGCTGAGGCCTTCATGGCGTTCTCTCTCCATCAGACGCCATCAGCTCCTGTCGGCGGAGCAGGACGACCACAGCTGAATGAAAGATGCTGCTCTGCTCATTGTTCTCCTCCCTGTTTGAAAGGATGCAGCAGCAAACAGACAGGAGGGATAGAAGCTCCTCATCGGGATGCAGAGACACAGCCTGACCACGGAGCTGCAGTTATTCCTCTCTGAGCCTCTGAGACGTCAAACAGACACTGTTTGAAATGAACCATTTTCTCTACTTACGCTTTAAAATGCTAACTTATCATCTTTAGTGTCATTTTCCCTGCATGCCAGATGTAAAGTGGTCATTAAAAACCCAGTATCAGACTCTTCAGGAACTCTTCAATGATTTGAAATGTGTCTGATGAAGCAGGATGGTGAGCTGCTGAATGTTCCTCAGAGGAGCGGCTCAGAGCGTGGCGTCCTGCAGACGATCAGCAGCGATGCAAACAAGCACAGAGCGATGCTACACAGCTGACATTTAACCAACAAACTAACGGATCCTCTCTGACGCAGCGGATCGTCTCATTCTGCTCCCGTCGTCAGTCACTGATGCGTCTCCAGCAGAGCCTCGGCTCCCAGGAGACGATCCTGATTCTGGGAACTGGACTTCCTAGAACTTTCAGCTGCAGAACTTTCTGAGTATGACTGCACAGTTGGAGCCAATCAGGGGCCTTCCCTGATTCCTGATTGGCTCCTCTGTCGTTACAGAGAATGGATCTTACAGCTTTTGTCTCAGAGCCCACTATACCCCCACCCACACCCCCCACCCAACACACACACACACACAGAGGCCTTTGTTTGGTCTGATTAATTCCTGGATCCTCTGGAGGGAAGTCTGCCCCGTGTGCGTCTGGCTGGATGGCCGACGGGGGAGGGCGTCTCCCCAACCATCTGATCCCCCCTTTTAAAACCAAGATGGCCACTGGCTGCGTCTGTAACACGGCCAGGACCTGGAATCCCATTAGTGAGACGTGAACTGACTTTCGGATGTGTGCCTCAGCAGACAGTGTGAGGAGGAGAACCGGATTATCCGATGGGTCAGTGAAGGCCACACAGAGCTGATCAACAACATCGGGGGCCTCCACCCAAAACACTGGGTGATGGTGGGCGTGCAAGAGCCGCTGCTGGTTTCCAGTCTGAGGAGCTTAACATCCATCCAACGAATGGGGGGGGGGGGTTGATGGCAGCCATGTTCAGCTGTTTCTGTCAGTCTGGAAAAGTTGGACCGGACCGTATCCCCCCCCCCTCACCTGCTTAGGAGGACAGCTGCCCTCCTGATCCTCCTCCTCCCCAGAAACATCCATAAAAGCTCCTAAAGGTTATCCCCCCCAGCAGCCAGTAACAGCAGACAGAGCTGCTGATGGACTTAAGGTCTGGTTTCCCAGGATCCTATAATCCTGGTTATATTTTTGATTGATGCCAAGTTTGAAGTGTGTTGACAGCGTGTCTTCAGGGTTACACACAGTTCACCTGTGAGTGATCCCCAAAGACCAGCCGTGAACAGACCGTCGCACGGAGCTACAAACCAGCGTCCTGCGCGGTGTCTGGGATAGTGTCGAGGTGTGCCAGGCGTTGTGGACGGCACTACAGCCAGAGTTTCTGCCAGTACCCACACCAGCCATGTGAGAAAACATCATGGCTGACTACTGGAGATTGGGGAACTGAAATTGACCAATCACAGGCCTCCTGTCTGAGGTCACCTACAATTTTGGGGAGGTACACCAGAGTGTCTGTAGAAGGGTAGGGGGGCTTATCTGCATTAATTTGCTGGACACCAACCCAAAACAGAGACGGAACCAGGTCTTCAGGCTCGGCCTCCAACCAGACAGCCGAGACAGTGGGCCGCATCGTGACGGCGGGCCGCAGAGTAACAGCGTCACATCATCACCTGGGAACCAGATCTGTGATTTCAATTCTTTCTTACTGCAAACGCCTCCAGATATTTGACACCCTGTATGGAGCAGCTCTCCCCCTTATCTTTCCCTCACTACTAGCAAACCTTCCCTCCATTCTTCCTCCTCACTCTGGGAGATTTTTCTGTTCTGGGAATCAGAGCAGCCTGCAAAGCGTGAAACCAAAATATGGAGGCGTTGGGTCGATACTCATCCTTAATCCATAGTCTTTTCTCCTGCTGACGCTCTCAGCCTAGCAGCTAAGCTCCGCCATCACTCACTTGCCACCTCCAGCGACGCGTTGCGACTGACGGCTTCGCCCAGGTAGTTGCGGGCCACGCACACGTAAACGCCTTCGTCCGGTTTGCTCCTCCTGCCGTGCACGATTCGCAGGAAGAAGAGCGACCCGCTGGGCAGCAGCATGCGGTGGGATCGAGGGTCCTCCCGGTCCGTCTCCACGCGCTCGCCATCTTTGTACCACTCCACCGTGGGCGTGGGCCGCCCCTCGGCCTTACAGTTCAGAGTGGCCGGTTCTCCTTTGGACACGATCAGGTCAGATGGATGCTCGATGATCCGAGGAGCGGCGTCCTCCAGCCTGGGACGAGATCCTGAGGGGAAACAGAGAAGCAGAGGTTCGCTTTGAATTATGGGAGAAATGACATGCAGGCGGATGCAGGTTTCTGTAGAGATCCTGTTTCTGGTTTGGAGAAGGAGCTTAATCCTAAAAACAGGATGCCAAGATGCCAGATTGTATTTCATGCTCTGAAATATCTGTGTATCATCTGTTCCTTCATTATTCAAATTAAAACCAAAAATTAAAAATGCAAAAATACACTTGTTTTCTTACTATTTGTTTCCAAAACAAAAAAGAAAAAAACAGATAATGAGCCATTTTCCCATTTTGTGCACAAAATCCAATATGGAAAAAATGAATAAAGCTCATTATTGTTAGGACTCCAGTCTGTGTTTTTGTGTGTTTGTCTTCCTTCCTCCACCAGGCGGCGCCTGGTTCTGATTCTCCTCCTCACACACCTGCAACGGGTTACCTCGTTAACGGAGGATTCTTAAGCTGCTGACTGCCACTACCTCAAGCCAGAGTGTTTGCCAGTTTTGGGTACTCTAGCCAGTTTTGCTGAGTCAAACTGAGTTTTTGTCAACCTGATTCCTAACGTTGTTATTTTTGTCTTTGCCTCTCGGCAGGAAATCATCCTGCAAACTGGGTTTTTCGGACCTTCTCTCCCTGGAAGGATCAACTGAGCTTCAAACTGAGCTGAGAAAACAAACCGGAGGTTTGGATCCACTTTTCCCTGAGGGAACATTTGAGATTCACACTGAGCAAGGGATTCATCTGCACAACAGTCCGTTCACGTACCGCAGGAAATCTGAGTGGCAGTCAGTCTTTCTCTGTTCATCTACAAGCAATCGCATTCTGGGTAACCCTGTCTGCCCTCCTCCGTATGAGACAAACACTGGAACACATTCCTCACCTACTGGAGTCTAAGAGTAAACCTAATCTCTGGAAACGGCAGTCTGCCAACCTTTTCTCCTCTTCAAGTTCGAGAATCAATTCTCCCACTGAACCTGAACTAACCCCAGTGTCTTCCCCTCACCTTTCAGTTCCGGTTGAGCAGTGTTCAGAGCAACACTGGAACCTCCACAAAACTTCTCAATAAACCTGTTAAACCTTTTCCCTTGTCTCTCTGGACTGGTTTATCTGCATGTGGGTCCGAACTCTTCATAAAATCATGACAATTATCCCTTTTTTTCCTTTTTTTTAAATCTCAAGCAAGTTGAATGACCCCGATATGATCTGGTTCACGTAAAGTTTCTACTTTAGTCGGCCTCAGGCAATACGCCTCGCCCAGAACCCAGTCTCTGGAAGGGATAGTTTTATATTCAAACCAATTAAATTCCCTAAGCTACATAAAAGGTTTTCTTTTCTTAATGAAGGTGGATCTACTTTCCAACAAAGTTAAAAAAGTTTAAAATCAATCCACTGGACTTTGTTTCCAAGTTTGAAGACGTTTCTCTTCCATCCAGGAAGCTTTTTCAATTCAAAATGTCAGAAATAGCGTTGAGTTCCAGGTTTTATCCAGCAGCCCAACAAAGCCTGGTTTTAGTTTAGAAAACATGCAAATAGAAACGGATGAATGGGTCCCCCCCTTTGCAATAGGGGTCGTTGTTGGCCTGGTTTTTGTTGTTTTCTAACTTTTTTGGAATGACTATGATCTGGAACACTGAAAATCTTCACCAACGTTGATCAACTTTCCTTCTTGAACTACAGATAACTGCAGGTTAGAAGAGAAGCAGCTGCAGCATGAAGGAAACTGTCTGATTATTCATGAGGAACGCTGCCATCATGGTTCTGAAAGTTTTTCTAAAATCCCTGAATATTCCCAGGATTTTCATCCGAAAATGCCTAAAAAGGCCTCTCCAAATTCAAACCTCTATAGCTCTTGAGCCACATGGAGTATAAATAAAGTTCTGGGCTCCATGTAAACTCTCTAGTTTCTGCTGTGGATGTGGTATGCTTCATAAAACAGCTCTGGATATTAAAAAAAACTATTATCGCCTGGATTTTCTATGTAGGAAATGATTAATAATATTACTCCAGCAGGCCAGGAATGAACAATTTCACACAACAGACACACTGTCTTATATCCTGGCAAGCAGCCTTTCAAATGTTATTGGAATATCTGCAAAAATAGCCGTTATATAAGTGCTCAACATAGAAACATCAGTGAGAGCTCTTTGGAAAGAAAACACTTAGAGGAAACAGACTAAACTGTGCATCTTTGCTCATTGGAAAGCGGAGAACCAGAACCTTCTGAGGATATGCAGACATGCTATTTTGACATTGTAATACCCATATGTACAGGCGCTGAATGTTCTAAAGCCCCCCTGGGTCACGGGGGGGTTCGTGTGAACTTTAAATAAAATCCTTTGCTAAATGTTTTCAGGTACAGTTAAATCAAATTGGGCAACGAAAGCAAACCAGAGGAAATCTGCAGAGGTGCTGATCATTTCCCACAGAACAACAACATCTATGTTCATCTGCAGCAAACAATTAGTCTGGGAAAAGTCTATTTTTCTGTTAATGTTTTCATCCTGGTTTAAAGGATCAACCTAACAGACAGCCTCTGATCAGGCAGCAGTCAGAAATCCTCCTCAGCTTCGAGACGATGAAGATCTCCCCTTTAAGGGCTTCTCTGATGATGGGGATACTAAGAACAGTCTGATGGCCTTCCTTCAATGCAATTATCCTCACAAAGATGGAGAAATGGGATGAAATGAACGGAAATGGTGCAGAGGCTCTGCACTTTCTGAGAGAGGGAGTAGAAATAAGAGCTGAGCTTTAGCCTGATGCAGCCTGAGCGCCACTGAAAGCTTCTCTGTTTCTGCAAATAAAACATTTTTACTGCATCATTGGTTAAACTTCTAGAGAAGAAAACCAAAACAACCTATTCCTTTAAATAAACCATGTAGATCTGATCAGCTTCCAGAAACTAAGCTAATCGCCACCAGATGCTGACTAATCTGAGGAAGAGTTGATTTTAAACTGATGGGTTAGTGCTTTAAAAAAAGCAATGAAAGAAAAAAAGATAAACAGTGATTCAGCTGCTAGAATGGAAAATGCTTTTGCACCATAACTACACGGCTCTGTGCTGTGCTGAAAGCTGTTCAGATGCACAACACGTGATTCTACACTGCATAAACCTTCTGAAAATGAAAAATTTACAGTAGCAGCCATTCAGTATGGCCCCTGCCACTCAAACGCCAGCTGATTAGCAGCCCACCCCCCTGCAACTCCCAGCTAGATCCTCTCTAACTTCCAGCCAATGCCCTCCTGGCCGTGCATAACTTTTTACTCTGGCTCCATCCTTTCACTGAATTACAGCGTCTGACCAGGAGATGGCGCTTCTCTTTAGATCTAAATGTCAACAAATCATGACAGAAAGGAACTGTAGGGGACCAGCCAAGGACCAGACAAGGACCAGCCAAGGACCAGCCAAGGACCGGCCAAGGACCGGCCAAGGACCAGCCAAGGACCGACCAAGGACCAGCCAAAGACCAGCCAAGAACCAGCCAAAGACCAGCCAAGGACCAACCAAGGACCAGCCAAGGACCAGCCAATGACCAACCAAGGACCAACCAAGGACCAGCCAAGAACCAGCCAAAGACCAGCCAAGGACCAACCAAGGACCAGCCAAGGACCAACCAAAGACCAGCCAAGGACCGGCCAAGTACCAGCCAAGGACCAGCCAAGAACCAGCCAAAGACCAGCCAAGGACCAACCAAGGACCAGCCAAGGACCAACCAAAGACCAGCCAAGGACCGGCCAAGTACCAGCCAAGGACCAGCCAAGAACCAGCCAAAGACCAGCCTAGGACCAACCAAGGACCAGCCAAGAACCAGCCAAAGACCAGCCAAGGACCAACCAAGGACCAGCCAAGGACCAACCAAAGACCAGCCAAGGACCGGCCAAGTACCAGCCAAGGACCAGCCAAGGACCGGCAAAGGACCAGCCAAGGACCATCCAAGGATTGGCAAAGGACCAGCCAAAGACCAGCCAAGGACCAGCCAAGGACCGGCCAAGTACCAGCCAAGAACCAGCCAAAGACCAGCCAAGGACCAGCCAAGGACCGGCCAAGTACCAGCTAAGAACCAGCCAAAGACCAGCCAAGGACCGGCCAAGTACCAACCAAGGACCAGCCAAGGACCGGCAAAGGACCAGCCAAGGACCGGCAAAGGACCAGCCAAGAACCAACCAAAGACCAGCCAAGGACCGGCCAAGGACCAGCCAAGGACCAGCCAAGAACCAGCCAAAGACCAACCAAGGACCAGCCAAGGACCGGCCAAGTACCAGCCAAGAACCAGCCAAAGACCAGCCAAGGACCGGCCAAGTACCAACCAAGGACCAGCCAAGGACCGGCAAAGGACCAGCCAAGGACCAGCCAAGGACCAGCCAAGAACCAGCCAAAGACCAGCCAAGGACCGGCAGAGTACCAACCAAGGACCAGCCAAGGACCGGCAAAGGACCAGCCAAAGACCAGCCACGGAACCAACCAAGGACCAGCCAAGGACCAGCCAAAGACCAGCCAAGGACCAACCAAGGACCAACCAAGGACCAACCAAAGACCAGCCAAGAACCAGCCAAAGACCAGCCAAGGACCGGCCAAGGACCGGCCAAGGACCAGCCAAGGACCGGCAAAGGACCAGCCAAGGACCAGCCAAGGACCAGCCAAGAACCAGCCAAGGACCGGCCAAGGACCAGCCAAGGACCGGCAAAGGACCAGCCAAGGACCGGCAAAGGACCAGCCAAGGACCAGACAAGGACCGGCCAAGGACCAGCCAAGGACCAGCAAAGGACCAGCCAAGGACCGGCAAAGGACCAGCCAAAGACCAGCCAAGGACCAGCCAAAGACCAGCCAAGGACCAACCAAGGACCAGCCAAGGACCAACCAAGGACCAGCCAAGAACCAGCCAAGGACCGGCCAAGTACCAGCCAAGGACCAGCCAAGGACCGGCAAAGGACCAGCCAAAGACCAGCCAAGGACCGGCCAAGGACCAGCCAAGGACCGGCAAAGGACCAGCCAAGGACCAGCCA